TCTGGATCGTGCTCTTAAGGCCTCTTTCGAACTTGAGGCACTTCATGTGCTCAAATTCAATTAGGGAAGGAGCAAAGCGAGACAACTCGTTGAACTTGGCTTCATACTCCCTCACTGACATACCCCATTGCTGTAAGCCCATAAATTCCATGGCATTTTCATCTCGGTAGCTCTGGGGAAAGAACTGCTCATTAAAGAGCTCTTTAAATTATTCCTAGGCCATCTCCTCAACATCATACGTTCGCCTAATTCGCTTCCACCAAGCATTGGCCAAACTTTCAAACTTAAATGCAGCGAACTCCACCCAGTATTCGTCTAGTACCTCATAGTATTCAAATGTTTGGACACCGATTCAAACCAGTACTCAGCTTCCTGAGGTCCACCCACACTAGTAAAGGCAGGAATTGAGCTATGCCTAAACTCATGAAAGTAGCCCTGTTTCCTGTCCTCCACAGAGCGTTCATTCTGAGCTCTGGTAGCCATTCCCTGGAAGGCCGTGTACATCGCATCCATGAACTATTCGTTCGGCATTGCCGGCGGGTTAGCATTCCTGTGATGCGGTGGCATTCTCTTAATTAAAAAAGAAAACTAGACCATTTTTGTGGTTTCCTGATGTCATTCTTGTATGCATAATTCGAAGCCCCAAGGTTCTAAAACCTAGGGCTCTGATACCAAGACTTGTCACGCCTCCAAACAGGGATTAGTGACGTGGAGGCTTGTTTAAAAATTTAAACTTGCGTAAGAAATTGATTAACAACTAACCGTTTAAAATTAAATTTCTAATCCAAAATATTAATGTATTTCCAAACAAACCCCACTAGTTATAAGAAATTAAGTTTCAAGGAAAGTGGTGGAAATTCTAATAAAACAAGTTCAAAACCTCACCTCTGGTATCATTTCAGGAATCCCAACAGGTTTAGCATACACGAACATAAACAAGAAAGTAAATGTTGACATCAACCACAGTCTAGCAATATTTGAGTTTACAATCCATAATTTAATACATGCCTTAAGGAAAATAAAGAAATGTGCTGATCTTTACTTCTCAGAATCGGATTCACCTCACCGGTAGTAGTTACCTATTCTGCACTACTTCTTGCGTCGTGTGGTGGGGTTAAATACATTTGAAACACAAAAAGTGAGCGGAAGGCCTAGTAGGATATAATTTTATAAAACTTTATAAATGAAAGTGCTCACGGCCCGAACGGATCATCCGGATCCGATCATCCTTTAAAGAAAGGAAATACTCACATAATAGTGGTAAAATATCTAAATAATGAAAATATGCAAAGCCATAATATCACCACTGAGTAAGAAGTGGCCCGTACTGGTTTCGGGACCTGCCCCCAAGGATATGATTCCCATATCCCGATCTCTGTAGCCGTCATGCGTTTTATCAATTCTTAAAATATCTCATTTTAAGAAAGAAAACTCTTTAAAATCTCATTTCCAAATTATTGTAAACTCAATAGCATTATTCATGCTATTTCTTCTAAAATCATTTTTCTTTAGACATGTTTTGTTTTTAGAACATTTTCATAGGCCAAAATCATTTAAATCATGGCTATCAAGGATATGGACAAGAATATCCTACCTCTCGGATATCAAACCTGTGGCTGTCTTCACGTAGCCCTAGCTCCACTTGTCTTTGAAGCTCCAAGTCCAATTGTGCCACTAGCTTCGTCAACAAAATCAACGGCTTAGAGTTTAATGCTTTCCTCTAAACATTCTTGTTTAATCACATACAATTGTATCATACTAGTGTGCCTTAACTTAAAATTAAAGTTCATAAACAATTCTTAATTCAAATCATGATTCTTTGGGAATTGGGATTCATTCTAGAAAATTGAATGGGAACAAGGATTAATGTGGCTAATCCACTTACTTTGAGTTCCCAAATGAAGTTAGATTGGTTCTACATCGAGTTTCAGGGTCAAAACAGGGTTTTTGAACTGTTTAGGATCAGATTTAGTGTATACCGGTCGACCGGTGACAGAGGAGTGTAACTCCACCGATTTCATCAAAACCCATTCAAAATCTATCCAAAAGTGAATCTAAACCAGAAATCACCAAACTCGACTAAAAATGAGTTCCACAAGGCTAGATCTGAAAGTTTAAAGAGAGTTTTAAAGAGTTTTACCTTGATCTAGGCTTTGATATTAAAAACTTCTTGGAAATCTCCGTTTTTGGTTCGAATCCAGTTCAAAATGTCCTTGAGAGAGAAAACTTTGAGAGAGGGAGAGAGAGCTCTGAGGGAGTGAGAGAGATGCACGAGAGAGAGTGAGAGAAGGACATGAGAGAGGGAGAGATTGAGCTGAGAGAGTTAGAGAGAGAGAGTGGAGTGACGAGAGAGCGAGAGGGAAATGAGGGAAAGAAAAGGGGTGAAATTATAAATACTGAAAGTAAGTTTAAAAGTTCTTGTTTAATTAAGAAAAGTTAAATTAGGTACACTAATAAATTATAATTAACATAATTAAACATATTTAATTCTTGAGGAATGTCAATATTGTATCTTAGAAAACCAAGATCCCTTAGAAACACTATAATAACTTTAGAAACAAAGGTCAACAGCATCACAGCCAAATTCCAACGCGATGGAAATTTAGAGAACGACCCGTTCATATGAAACGACAGTAAAAAAATTAAAATATAAAAACATTTTAAAACAGTAAAAAAAAAAAAAAGGAAAATCGAAAGGCGGCCGCATTCTAAGGAGAATCAAACAAAAAGATATTCAAATGATAACTCTCCAGTACTGTTAAAATAAAATCAAAATGCTTATATTAATTAAATCAACCTTCGGTTAGCTATATATGCTGTCTTGGATTTGTGGTCCCACTTTTGGCTGCAACTATTGAGCAAATCTATCTCTATGATCAAAGCCAAGTTGCTTGTATATATATGGCTAATGTAGAAAAGTTATATCAACTTTTCTATTTCCTCACTTCATGTTATAGAAATTAATTAACAACTTAACAAGAAACTTGTTCAATTTGGCCTGTAACATCACTAATTAGGCAAACAAACAAACAAACAAACATACATACATAAATAAAATGCATGTAAAATGAAACTGAGCAATCACATATATAATGCAGCCACCCTTTAAATGCTAGACATAAGAGCTTCATGCAATTCTGTTAACAATTATCATTGTTTTGAACTTCATGCTAATCAGCTACGCGGCTCAAACTTCACGACGGTTAAAACCCCGGTGCAAAATGTCAAGAGTTTTCTTGACTAGCGATTCACGATCGTTTCAAAACCGTCATGAAGTTCTTTTGTTTGCACTTGTGAATGGTTCTGAACACCGCCTCAAAACAGTTGTGATGCATTAAAAAGAATGGTTATGAACCAGGTCCCATATATATTCTTGTCAAAGAACTTGTTAATAAAAGAGTATATATACTATACACGGCTTTCTCAACTGCATTGACCATGATTTCTTTTGGGAAATTAAGGAGGAAAAACAAAAGGCCTTCTGACCAAACATTTGCATTTCCATTCTGGGTTGAGATTTTCTTCTCTTTCAAATTTGACCAGGAGGGAATAAGACAAATGGAAAATCCCAACCGAAAATCAAGAAAATAATTTACAAGGGACGATATTTTCGCAGACTTAAAAACATTAAATGAGGAGGAGGGCTTTCACTATCTCTGACACCATCATTCAATACAAAAAGTTGATACAAAACAGAAGACAATAAACTCAAGGACGGCAAATTTGTTAGACTGCATTTATTGTCTCCATAGTATAACATAAAGCGCCTCTTCCCTTGCATTTTCACATAGATCAATGGCTGAAATTTGAGTTCTGATGTGGGTTTTGTTCATACAGAGATATGCAATAAGAAATTTAGGGTCCTCTCTTTTCGTAGGTTTAAACAGAAAATTTGAATAGAAATTCAAATTTTTGTGAGAGAACGCTGTAGCAAAAATATTTAGATTGTGGTTTAAATCTATGAAAACAATGGACTCTTAGAACTACGCAGTTTGGAAAAAATACAATTCAGAGAAACATGGTTTGCATTTGTAGAAAAACATTGTTTTCTGCTGAAGTAAACTATACCACCAAGACTTCTATATATCTAACAGCAAAGGAAACATGATCTCTTTTTCCTTTGTTTCTTATGCCCTTTTCTAAAGGGTCAGAGAACATAAAGCTTGGAAATCAGTTGGTGAAGCTTCAGTATCATCTGCCTAACCTTTCAATTTCAGTGTGCTAAATTAAGTCATGCTTTTTATTTTTTGCTTAAGTATAAGTTAAGTCATGATTAGACCTAACACATACACATAATACGTTTAGATAATCACACGCGAAAATTTATGCAGTGGATGCAGACACATATCAATCATCCATCAACAAATGCAATAACTTTCAATGGTCTTTTCCAAACAGTTGAGGGTACCTTTCTATGCAAATGCATTTTATTTTACTTTATTATTATTTTATTTTCATTATGTTTCTAGTTTCTACATAGCGTGACGGTTTTTGTTACTGCCTTTTCTGGTGGCTGGTAGCAAACCAAGCTCATAAAGGATGTTACTCTAAAGGGAAATTATTTACAATGACAGACATACAAAAACAATGTGAAGTGTAAAGCTACTATGATTAAAAGTAATGGGCCGGTGCATGCTCATAGACGGACATACAGAGGGTTTATTTTTGTTCCATGACAAAAGGACCGGTTCTATATTGTAATATGTAAAAGTATAAGTAGTATATCATAACATTAATTAATCTATATAACGTCTTTGAAAACAAATATAATACTACTTCAAGATAAGTAAATTCCTTTGTTACATTTATCAAAGTTATCATTCTATAAAACAAATGTCATATTACACGCCACACTTCTACATGTTACTTGGAGGACCTTTCTTTTACTTAATTAGACAAATTATTTTGTTGAATAGAGTGCTCCTAATATGTGACTAACAGAAGACCTATATAAAGGGCATTACAAGCAAGGAAATGATTGTAGTCTTCTTAGAGTTTTTAGTCTATTCATTTACTAGCTTCATCTTTTCAGTACTATTTCATTATCATAAACATGGGTGTGGTGTGCAACAATGGAGGAGGTCTTGCCAAAGCCTTAAACGCCAATGTTTACGGCAACGGCACTCAAACTCTAGTCCTTGCACATGGATTTGGTACAGATCAAACAGTTTGGCACTCCCTCATTCCTTTCCTTGTATGTTATTTCAAGGTTGTGGTCTTCGACTTGGTTTTCTCGGCGAACGTAGATCCTAAACTGTATAACGAAAAGAAGTACTCGAATTTAAATGGTTACGCGGAAGACCTGTTGTGCCTTCTTGATGAACTTAATGTGAAGAACTCCATATATGTTGGACACTCCATGTCAGCCATGATTGGATGCATAGCTACAACAAAGAGGCCAGAAATCTTCCAACAACTTGTCCTTTTAAGTGGCTCACCAAGGTGGTTCTCTCTATCTCTATCTCTATCCCTATATCTCTCTAGAATACTGTTAAAGCAGCCGTATCTACTTTTGTTTACTAATACAACGTCACTCTCAAATAACAAGTATAGTTCGAGGTTACACACTACGCACTAGCATGTACTAGTTTCGTGATTGTTACTAATGTTAAAACTTGGCAAGTCCTAATTCTTTATTATCGAGAGCAATAAAATCAGAGGGAAAAAAAAAGCAAGGATACAAAAGACTTGTAGTAGTTCATCATCAATATAAGACCTATTTTACTTTTATTTTTTGTATAATTTCACCGCAATAAATAAAAAGATTACAGGAGAAACTATATACCTCTCAGACTCGCTGTGTTTTCTCTAACCTATCTCTTAACCCTGAAAACGATGTCCCCCTTAATATAAAGGAAACTAGGGAAACCGAATGTACAAATGTGAAACCCCAAACCCCAAAGGACGATCCGCATGCTATCTCTGCATCGAGGTAATTAGCTTACTTTAATACTCTTCTAAAAGTTTCATATTTTCATTCCTTTACTTGCAGATATCTTAATGAGAAAGATTACAAGGGAGGTTTCAAGATGTCGCAACTCAACGCGGTTTTCAAAGAAATGGATGAAAACTTCCCGACTTGGGTTAAAAATTTTGCTCCAATCGCTGTGGCTGTAAACAACACAATTGCAATAGCCAAGTTTGAAGACAGCTTGGGAAGAATGAAACCTGGGATTGCTCTGAGTGTAGCAAAGACTGTCTTTCTAAGTGACCTTAGGCAAATTTTACCCCAAGTTTCAGTGCCTAGTTTCATAGTTCAATCTGAAAAAGATAGAGTTGTTCCAAAATTTGTCTCATTCTACATGAAAAGAAAGCTTGGTGGCCACGCAAAAGTTAAGATACTCAAAACAGAAGGCCATTTTCCTCAGCTGACAGCATATCCTATGCTTTTTAAAGCTTTGAAGCGAGTTCTTCATATTACGAATATCGGTTAAAAAATGAAGACAAAATTACAAAATTTACCTTTAAGAGTACATGGTTATGGATTTTTACTCCCCACACTTGATTAATACTCTTTTGTTATTATAGTTATTTGACTAAAAAAGTTATTAACCAAGAATAAGGAGTAGAAATTTTGACTCGTGCACTTTTAAAGGGTATTGGTCTCTCTTTTCATTTGGAAAAATTGACTTGTATTTGTCTAAATGAATTATAGAAATAAATGAATTGGTTCATTCTGTTTCTTATTATAATCTCTGTTTTATTGGCCTTTTGTTCTTTTTTCTCTTGGTTTATTTTCTGTTTTATATCCTGCATTTTCAGTTTATATGCATTTTTCCTTGGTTTATAAAAACGGATGTTCTTTCTCAAGATGGTACCTTTGAATTTTAATTTTATTGCAAATTTGTATCCGCTTCAATTGATAAACTTACCTTTTACAACTTATAAGCCTATAACCAAACACAATTAGCATTATGCTTAAAATAAAAAACAAAGAAAAATTGTTAAAATTTGTATTTTCAACCTAATATGCTGCAAAGGTAGATGCATTAATTAATATTTGATCACAAGATTATCTAGGATCAATTTATCCAATATTAAGTTAAAATATGTTGTTGACAATTTGGGGTACAATCTTGAATATAACTACAGATACGTGGTAAACGATTTTTGTAAACTTAAAACGCAAAAGGTATAAAATAAAATTATCCCTTCTTTTGATTATTCTTTTGCTTACAATCTTCTCGACTTTGCAAACCAATATATTTTTTTCCCCTTTAGGTAAAGACCAAAGCATTAAAGGAAGAACCGGATCATTTGAAGATGCATTTATTTAACTACCAATTTTAGATACGTACATGTAACCAATGAGAAAATGCGTTGTCATTTCAGCAAAAAAGAGTCTTTTTCAAGAAGTAAAGTTTCAACCATATAAATAATGAACCTTTTAAGCTGCGCAAATACATAGGGAAGTAAAATACAACAACAAAAAGTAGGTTCATAGAAATAAATACTCATTTTTCCTTCCTAATTCTCAAGAATAACTAACGCCTTAAGAAATAAATAAAACTTTAGGTGTCAAAATTTCAAAAGATTAGACTCATGAGTGTCAAGCTAGTGTACTTTCAACATAATCCATTGCCTTCTTTTTCACGTACTCAATCCGCTCTTCGTCGCCGAGAGACTTCTCGTATTCCAGATACTTCTTGAACAAAAACTGCAAAAATAAAATACAATACACAAACACATAATACCTTAACATTAAATTTTGCAAAGCTAAAGATTATTAGACTTAAAGGGCAGTAAATAGCAGTACGCACTTTCATCTTTTTAGCCGGGAGGCTCAAACAAGTTGCCCTCTCAAATAGTGCACGAATCACGTCTACATCTCCAAGTCGAATTTCCTGAAAGTATTCAGCACGAGTCAGCTTTTCCAGCAAGCAAAAAATAAACCCCCAAAAAAAAAAAGGAAAATTGCCATAGTTTCTTTTTAAATTAAAAAAAAAAAAAAATGTTTGTAGTGGGAAAATAGCAAGGGATTTACTTGATCAAGATAGATGCTCCATAAGTCCGTTCTCTTTGGGTACTCTTTCAAGATTCCTTCAAACATAGATCGTCCCATATGAGCAACCCCACATTTGAACTCGAGAATAGCTGTTTGTGATATGAACTTAATGTGCTTATGTTTGGGAAGGCTTAACAAGGCACGATTGACGATAGGCTGAACCCCATCCTGCTGTTGGTTCAAGACCCTCTGTGTCCGTCTCAACCAAACCTAAAATTTTAGGCGAAATGTTAATGCTTGATTATTATTTAACTCGATCCTTTAACAAACACAAAAAATAATAGGATCATAAAATACCTTGCATGACTGCTTGAACTTTTTGGTCATTCTCTCAACAAGCTCATCAGCCAGCCTATGTTGCTCAGTTCTTTCATACATTCCCAGGAGTGCTAGATGAACTTTTTTGGGATCATTGTATTGCAATGCCCTTTGAAATATTTTCTGGACTGCCTCCTAAAGAAAGAAACTTACGAGATCTTGATATCTACAACAGAAAGATTATGTGAGAAAAAAAAAAAAAAAAAAACCAACTTTATGGGATATTACCTCCGGAGGATTTCCATATTTGTTTTCCAAATTAAAATAAGCCACCCAAATATTGAGCTTCTCGTTCTCTTCTCGGATGTTTATTGTTTGCAATGCCCTTGAGAGAAATCAAATTTATGTTGAAATTCATTTTTGATTGAAAGTACGTAACAGTTCTAGGAAGAAAATAAAATACCAATAGGACATAGATACTAGTGATGGAAAAGAGACTACCTTTCTGCAATGGAGCGGGCCTTCTCGACATCAGCCATAGAAATCGCAAAGTCCATGTACTTTATCCAGACAAAGCTGCTATTTGGAGAACCCCTAACTAGTTTCTCAAACTCCTCAGTAGTTCTTGGTATATCTTTCTCCAGTAGTCTTTCCTCAGCAGCTCTTATCTCTCTCTCTCTGCACATAATAGTTTGAAAAGTAAGGAAATTGACAACAAATAATAAGAACAAGGAGAGAGGGAAGGAGAGCAGTGGGAAGATAGAGGGCAACTTGAAAAGACTAAAACAACCTCTCTTCCTTTGCTTTCTTCTTTCCTCGCCTCTTGGTCTTTTCATCTAGGGTGGTTGCCTCATCGATAGGCTCTTCATTTCGACTAACTACATTATTGACATCTTCCTGATACACATCATCAAGTGTGACTTCAAGTGGAGGAACAGAAGCCCTGGATTCTGCTTGTGCAAGAATGGGGATTTCCAAATTTGCACATTCAACATCCATATCATTATCAGGCAATGATATCAACTTAGTGTCATTCACGAAACCATTGCTTGCATCAGCCTCTTGGTCTGAATTTTCTTCTGTGTCATTATCATCCAAAAGATAGGAATCTTTCATTCCTAGAGATATTCGATTTCTTTGTGGATCGACCTAACAATAAAACTGATTATATTAAACTAACTGCATAACAAAGCCTTGTAGAAAGATCATACCAAAGAGAAGAGAGACACATTGTCAAAACAAACCACGCCATTTAAAAATTAAGTTTACCCGTTTCCAAAAAAAAAAAAAAAAAAAAAAGTTTACCTTTAATATTTTTGCTCTCACTCTTTCTCCTGCTCTGTATTTAGCTTCAATGTTATCAATTTGATCATCTGAAAGCTCTGATTTGTGGCACAATCCAACCTAAAACGGGGAAAAAAAAAGAAAAAAAGGAAAATCAAAAGAACAAAAACGCAATGGAAACAATAAATATTAGAATGTCATTCATTATACACTCAATGTTCTTAAGTAAATAACAAGTACACCTAAGATAAATTTCACAAAAAAAAAAGAAAAAAAAAGGCGGCGTTTGTTTTCCTAGTTCAACCCAACAGATTTCCCATCTCGATCACCAGTCTAAATCGCTTGTCAAAATCGCAGAGAGAGAGAGTAGGGTTTAGGAGGGTTTTTTTTTTTTTTTTTTAAGGAAGGGAAGTTCTTTTTCAAAAAAGAAATTTCGATTCTATTACATGTATGTTATTTCCCCACTCCTAGACGCGTATGTTATTCCCCCACTCCTAGACGAATTTAAGGTTGTATCTCAAAATAACCCTAATAAAACACTAACAATAATAAAAAAAATAATAATAATTTCACCATAATAAACAGGAATAAAACTAATACGCTCTCTCTTTCAACACCTGTAAATTAGCAGCCTAATTACTAACTATTTCTTCTGTGTAACTCTGATTACCGAATCCTATCATAGGATTTAGAAAATATTGTAAGTATGTAATATCAACATTTAACAATTGGGAAAATATCTTAATTTAAGAAAAATATATTGAAATATTAAAAACATCTAGATCAATTCTTCCAAAGAAAGAAAAGAAAAGAAAAGAAATGGATCAATTCTTAAGAAAAATATCGTAAGAAAAGGATCAGAAGCAATGGATCAATTATTAACATTTAACAATCGGAAAAAATCCCAATTTAAGAAAAATATCAAAATATTAAAAACATCTGGATCAATTCTTACAAAAAAAAAAAAAAAAAAAAAAAAAAAAAAAAAAAAAAAGAAGAAAGAAAAGGACAGGAAGCAATGTGTTGAATGCCATACACAATTTAAAGCTCTAAACAGGACCCACATACTATCAATCGTGTGATCATCTCCACTGATGATGGACATTGTTTATCTAGCAAATAAATAGATAGCCATAACATACAAATAAATTTGCACGCAAAAAGCAATCCCAGAAGAAACTTTTTGGTTTTCAAGCAAATTTATCAACCAGCAAGTATAAAAATCATAATTTCTAGTTAGCATAAATGTAATACATTCTTTACCAAGTTTGTGTCGTTTATAGTGATGAATAAACCAAATGACTCCACGCGCTTAATCCTTCCGGAGATAAAATCCCCAACATGCAAACTACTCAAATTGCTAGTCTCAGATTTTTTGCTTGCTCCCAAGGTCTTTAAAGTAACTTGAACTCGCTTTGACAAAGGTTCGACGGATAAAACCCTGTGCATAAGCTCTTAATATACAGTGCATGTATTCTATATTCATCCACTAATAAACATACAACGCCTTTGGATAATAGACAGAGAGTGAACAAAATAAAGATTTACCTGCCAGTTACAAGTTTGCCAATGGGAAATTCTTTTTCAGGATTTATAACATATCCATCAGATAAATTTGAAAGAAGAATTTTTGCATCAACCTTCCGAGACAGAACAATGAAACAACCTTTTGGAGTAACATTTTTAACATAACCCTGTCAAACCACAAGAATGATATATAAAAGAACAAATATCAACAGAAGATGTTCGTAACTAAAACTCAACACAGAAATACGTATTTATTTCACTCGAGTAAAAAAAGCGACATTAAGCTTTGAAGGGTGGAATTTTACAACACCTGCACTGCCATATCAGGATGAAGATCCTCAATCGTTTCCACAAATTTGGTCTGAGGTCTGTACAGCGTATGAGATTCTTCTGTTAGTCAAGTGATGAGGGAAATCCATATAGAACTATACTAGTAAGAGAATGAAGTCCAAAAGATAAACTTGTCAATCATGTGTGCTTCACTCGTGCACTTTATTGTATAACAGAACAATAGATGGACAAAAATCCTTAACAAGTTCTTTTACACATATCTTACATCTTTACTAGATGTTGAGGTGGATGTGATAAGAAAAAAGCAGGGCAGTGTCTACGTGTAACTCCGAAAATATTTCAGATATTTCAATGAATATGCCTGTACAGAAACTCTTTTCTTTTTTCTTTTTTTCGGAAGTCGTAATTTTACTTTTTCCTCATTTTCTTCCACTCTGCCTTTTCTGGCTTGCCTCTAACTTTTATCTCACACTTGTAACCCGAAAATTACTTGGTATACAAACATAACAATGAAAGCATGAAATACAGAGTAATGAGGTTAAAACATGATTATCTGAATGTAAATCAGAGTGATAACTTACTCCTTTTTGCGTGCTTCCTTAGCATCTTGAGAAATCATGCCTACCCTTGAAGAACGTAATGACAAATCAATCTGAAATTTCCCTTTGACAGATTGGATAACCTTAAGGACCTTGCATTTGACAAATTGCCCTTCATGGTATCCAGATAATGGGTCAGACACCCAAGAGTCAGTAAGCTCAGCAAAATGAACCCTTCCATATGTGTGAGGACCAATTTGCACGGTTAATCCACCAACACCGAGAAGTATTTTAGATATTCTTCCACCCAAAATGCATCCTTCACAAATATGAGCAGTAACATTCTCACTTGGAATGAGAACTTCACCATCTGAAACTTTATGAGAGACAGAAAGAACAGGTCGTAGAACAAGGCGCAACAGTTTTTTATCCTTGTTAACAGTCAATATATAACCAGTTATGACTTTTCCCACATGAAAACGCTTCTGAAATTCAGTATGTTCAGCAGGATCACATGAACTGTCAAGAATGAATAGTTGAGCCCTCACATGTCGAGATATAGTTAACCACACCCACTCACTGTCCACTTTATATACATAGCCACTGACACGTTGCCCAGTTGAGAAATCAAGCTCTTCAGTTGCGAGCTCATCCTCTATTTCGGAAGAACCTGATTCAAAATTTATCAAACTTAATAATTGCAATTACTTAGCCTTGATGAAAAAAAAATCAAAATTCATTAGAGAACCATTGGCTAAGAGAAAATCATTGAGCAGTAAAAGAGATGTCACATAAATGTGATTTTTTTTTTTTTCTGATGGGATAAGGCTTAAACTAAATGCAGATACGGATTTACACATGGTTTAGAAATTTATAAAATCTCTGAGAAGAGAAGTACACTTATTTGAATAAGTTTCAAATTAGCAGAAGAAATATTTAAAACATACAACTTGGCAATGAAAACAAGACCATTATAAGTTGTAGACGAGACCGTTAGACAAACATTACAAGATTTATGTTACCTGTGAGAACAGAAGGTTTCACCGAAAGATCAAATTGGTAGCTCTTTTGTTTGCTATCTGAATGATTAATCTTTCCAACAATTTTTGCAGTCACCGTTTGCCCAACTCTGAAGTTACTGAATGGATTTTCCAAAACGTTGTCATCGTATACCTGTCCGTGGAACATAGTTTACTACCAACCAGCAAGAAACAACAAGCATATATGTATACAAAGAGTGATTACATAAAACTCAAAATTAATTTAATGTTGAAATCTAGTTGTGCAGAAGTTTTACCTCTGTTATATGAAGCCGCCCATGGAAACCGACCCCAAATTTCAACCTTAGTTCAAGAGGCCTGATTTCAGTAATCTGGAATGAAACAGAATGTAAGAATGCAACCACATGAGTTTCTTGTCATGAGTTACTGGCACATCAAAGTATCACACACATTCCTATAAACGATTCAGATACAACAAACAAAATGCTTCTCACTTTCATGAGATTAAGAATCTACGCCGACTAGTAAAGGAGAATCTTATATACATACCTCCGCCTGAACCAGAGATCCCAGTGTGTAGCTAGACTTCTTTTTTGCCCTTTTTGAACTGGATGTCCCTGGTTCACCTATCGAATTAAGAAGCAAAAGCAGCCTTCCCATTGTTGAAGGGCTCGGAAGAGCCATAACAGTGGCCATGACACTGCATTAAGCAAAACAAATCACCTTAAGACCCAGTCATAATGCATATTCATTGATGACACATATGTACAAATGATGAACCACATTTAGGGAGAACAAAAATTCTCAAACTTGAATTAGCAAATGAATTTTAATTCTCAAACTGCACCATCTCACTCTTTTAAGGTGATTTTTGATTTTTGACCCGCTACAAACACGTCGCAGCAATTTAAGAAGACAAGCAATTACAGATGATAAATTGGAATTCAAAAGATATCAAATAATTCATTCCTCATAAAAACATATGGGATGCTAATTAGCAGAAAGTATCCAACAAAAACAAAAATGCATTCACCTTTGTCCATTCAAAAATTGCTTCTGTGGAGACATCTGACTGTTATAGTCGAATTTTGATGCATATCCTAAGGCATAGTTACACTCGTGTATTGAGAGAACCTGGAACATGCGTTAAAAGATCTCATATGAACAAGCACTTGGAGAAAATATGATGTACAAAAACACTTACAGGACACACGAAAAAAAAAAGAAAAAAAAAAGGATTTTGATGCTATGTTTGACAAGAGGGATGGAAAATAGAAAGGAAGGAAAAGCAAAAAAACATTTCTTCAGATTGTTTGGAGAAGAGAGGGAAAAGTGGAAGAAAATTTCTAAAATATTTTACTTTACAATTATACCCTTGTACAAATAAGAAGATGAGATGTGATTAGAGTCAAAATGATTATTTGACATACTATTTCTTTAGTAAAATATTTTCCCTTATCCTTTCTTTCCAAAGTTGGAGGGATTAAAAAATAGTGGGCCCTATGGATTTTCAACTTCTATCCTTCTCAATTTCCTCTATACCAAACAATCCAAGATTCCCAATTCTCCTCCAAACTCCATCGCCCTTTTCCCCTCTACCAAACATAGGCTAAAAGAAATATAAAGGACTTACCAGGTAATTCTCCTTGACCATTTCGACAACAGCATTAACTGTCTGATGTAACTCCAAGTTCTTGGATGCTTCTTTCTTGCGCTTCTGGAATTCAGAATGTTTAAGATAGCCAAGTAGGATAGGTACAAAGTTGGGCATAAATGAGAAACGAAAAGAATGTCAAGAATTCAGAGTAAGAAATTTGATCCAAGGCTAGGAATCTGAGGAAAATAAGCCAATATTTTGAAAGTAATTATCTATCCTCGTACTTTTTATTGGGATAAACCTATTAAGAAGAGAAAGCACCCCAACGTAATATAGGAAACAGAACTTCTTCGAACCTTCTTGTCATTTTGGCTGCGAGAACTTTCTTTGAATTTACCAATGAGCTCTGTTTTCAAAGACAAGTCAACCAAATGCTCTGTTATGGAGACATCCAGAACCACAGCTTGAATGACAGAACCTGTCTCTACGGTGGTACCAGCTACTGCAAAAATTGTATACCAGAACATGTTATGGGCCCAAAAGAAACAACACATAGACTGGTGGCGCGAGGAAGGGGAAGGACTTACACTGATTGTGTGTAATAAAACCCAAGACATCATTATACTTGTCAAAGCTGACAACAACTCCAACATCCTTTGTTTCTTGTATTCTCCCCTCAACAACACGGCCAAGATTAAATCCTTTGGTCCAATTTAACTCGGATTCACAGGAATCCAGTGATTGCAGCTTAGCTATCTGGATACAAAGGATAAAATCAAAATTTTTAAAAAGTATAGGAATAATGTATAAGTAACTGGTACAAAAAATTATCAATCGCAAACAGGGTACTTCACAAATCACAGAGCATCTGGTGTATCACTAGAGTATTCAAATTTGTCTAAATCATATTGATGTCATGGTCCCAAATTAGAATCAAATCTGCATAACTTTGATGAGTAATCAAGTGATAATGATGCTATATGGGGATAAGCTTACAAGTATAGGTATCTGATACCAACATGTTGTTCATAATACCTCCCTTACTTAAATCTGATACCAACATGTTGTTCATAATACCTCACTTACCTAAATATCCATGCTTTGGACGTGCAATTTACGTTACATGATGAGATAATAAATGCAGAAAAAACATTAAAACTTGCATGGCAGATTTTTACCTTTTCCTCTAAAAGAAAGTAATCTTGCATTAAGGATGCATCTGTTGAAGAGCAAGATGACTGCTTCAATGAAAGTGTTATTCTAGCCTTTTCATTATTAACCTGCAAGGGAAAGGGGCGAAACGAGGTAATGATGAACTCCAATCAGAAAATGATTTCATAAGTCACAAACATAAAGTGATTTTATCTCAGAAGGTCACAAACATCGAGTATATTGCTGCGCACGGATTGTCCAACATAAAAGGCTTCTGAGAGATCAATTTTGTAGTCATCCATTGCCTACAAAAAATAATAATAAAATAAATTTCAGCATTCACTCATCTCCTGCAAAGGGAAAGAGGAAAAGAAATTGGAAAACAATAAAAATAAATATGACCTTGCTTCTGGGAGAGAAACCAGTTAAATGCCCAAGAAAGCGAACAAAGCAGCCAGTTTCAATTATGTTACAAATGTAACCCTGATTCAAACAAGAAACAAGTCATGTTTCTTATCCCAAAAACAAAAACAAAAGTTAAAGAAAATAAATCCATGCAAATAAAAGCAGTAAAAACCAAAATGAAGTAAAATGTCTATCTAGATAAAAGTTTCATTTTTCTTTTTTCTTTCTTTTTTCTATTTACAAGTCTCTCCAATTAATTTAGTACATGTTCTACATAAACTACGTAATTTGATCAGGACTGAGCTTTATTAATTTCCATATCTTGAATTAAGAATGCCAGAAGAACTAAGAATAGGTTTATTAAGCCTACATAAAAGGTTTACATCTGTAATTCCGCATCAGTTTTATTCGGAGAAATACGAGCCATTTAGAATTTGTTCTTTTTGCCAGTCTCCACTCCATGAAAAAGGGCATCCGCATAATCAATGAAGACTAATACGGCAATTACTTACATGGACAACTGAGTTTGGGCTTATCTGACTGAGCTCTGATGGAAGTTGCTGAGCAGACTTGATCAGCGAATATTTTGCGGAGAATATGAAATTGTTGCTTTCAATATCTTCATTATTTTTTTTTTTAAAAAAAAAAAAAAAAAAAAAAAAAAAAAAAAAAAACCGAGTTAGTAGTAGTGACAGGAAGTTTATCTGGCAGTAAATAGACGTGTATATAAATATACCCATAGAGTACAAATCATAAAATTTAAACCGGAACAAGAATGGCAAAACCACAGGTTATCATTAACAAATTTCTGCTGTCTACATTTAAGTTTCCCCAATGCCCCAGCTTTCCCTTCAAAATTCCAAACTGGCAACCAGTGCGAATTTGCTCCCTCGTCCCCCATGAATTCTTTCTAATGACTGCTATTCTCGTAAGAGATATAGTGTGCCAAATTAAAAGTTTTATTACATGTAATAGAATTAGAATATTTTGAGGGGCATAGAGATTTTTTTTCCTACCCAGCACCAGCAACTGATCAAATTCATATCCAGGTTTCAGGACTGACTTCAACAGGGCAGCTTGGCCTGCATAAGAAAGAACGGATATAATGAGTATACACCACAACAAGAATGACAGAGAAAAATTCATACCATGAAAATAGCATATACCTTGGTGATCTGCCAAATGCTCAGTCGTAATTGTACCTTTCAAGTACTTTTTTCCATTAACATAAACTACTACACCTTTTGGCGTTATTCGGTCAACAACTCCGGAAACAACACCACCCAAGTTGATAACATCATCCTCCAAAACCCTGCCAGCATGATTCAAAATATTTGTAATATATTTAACCTTTCTGAGCTTGAATTCACAACTTGCATGACTGGTGTATGATTTTTGGCACGCCAGAATATAGAAATGAAGTTTAAGAGGACGTTTGGTTGGAGGATTCAAACCATGTGATTTGAACCATTTTCGATTTACGTGAATTTTTTGTGAGAGAAAATACTGTAGCGAACCATGAATCATGATTCAAATCAGGGAACGAATCCCTCTACCAAACGGACCCTAAGACTCTTTCAAGGATTAAGGGTAGAAAATAACCTAAAATACCTCTGAAATTTATAATAATAAGTATGAGAAAAACTGAACTGAATTACAAAAGTAAAGCCCTATTTACAGATAGATCCCAAACCCACTAGGAATACTAATTCAGGTAAAAGGCTAAATAAATAATAAAATCCTAATTCTGAAAAACAACATAGAATAAATATGATAGAAAATACAGTCCTGATTTAACTTAAATACCAACTCAATAAAATTTTATTAAGACACAAACTTGTCCTACATCAACTATAAATCACCCAAATGATCAGTATACACTTTTGGAAAACATTTGGTGTTTTCCAAAGGAAATAATAAGAGTTTTTAGTTTGTGTTCACATTGACGAACACAAGCGGGCACCAAATTAATGTGCATCAGTAGCTATGTGTAGAGAAACAAACCTTCGAGGCTTTATTATGAAACTAAGGTTGATGCGCCTTGATCCAGGAACAGAACTAACTATCCTACATTTGATGACTTGTCCAACATGATATATCGAACTTGGAATTGGATCATCGTCACATCCTGCTTCTAGTTCAAGTTCAGATCTGGTTCAAAATGAAAACAAATAATATTAACCATAGCTGGAGAGAGAGAGAGAGATAACAAGTTTTTAGAGCTTATGCACTTCTAGCATTTGGAGCACCTTTGTTGGAGCACCTTTGCAGAACAGAACTAATTGATACTTTAATATCTCCATCAGAAAAAGGCATTTTACATGCTTACCACAAGTTGCAAAGGAAAGCAGATAACCTAGTCACCACTATACACTTTTATCCTTATTTTGATAAGAAACAAACAAAAATTTATACTTATCCACTATATGCTTTTATACTTATCTAGATTACATAGGAGACACAATAGCACACTATAAAAATTCTCGTTAGCAAGCAAGTTATTCCCAAATCACGATACATACCAACATATAATTATCTAATGAGCATAGAAGCAAATGTGCCCCTTTATAGTAACATTCAAGAATTTGCATGACAACAGAAAAATGCCAACCATGCAAGAAAGTTATAACCACAGAATGCACAAAGCTAATCTGAATCCAGTTTCTCTTCCATTTTTCTTAATCTAACTTTGACTACACTCATTCTTTTAACATATATCTGAACTGGACATTTTGCAGCAGGGGATTATTGATATTGAAATGACCATGGGAATTTTTTTTGATAAAAAAATTACCATGGGAATTAGGAACTCTTAGATACAGCACCAGTCTCTTAAAGCTCTCTTTGCTAGAAGACATAATTCTAAAAGGCTATATTTGAACATCATTTAGAAAATGCTTAAACAAGGTGCCTTAAAGCTATCAGTGTACACCTCCCCCAATTCCATTTCTACAATTGATGGTAAGCTTAGATATCCCCCTATTAAAACTTAAATCTTTCTGTTCACAAGTGTTCATTACTAAAAGATATACAATGAGCAAACAAATACTACGAAACACACGCAAGAATTTAAAAATTATGAAGAAAACCACAGATCAAAGTATAGTAAAATAATCGGTTAATTCCAGGGCGGGAAACCCATAATTTGTAATCATTGTTCAAAACTAACCTTGGAGCAAAACCCTGGACACCATTGTAAAACCGGACGAAGCATCCATGCTTTTCTATCTTTGTTATCCACCCATGTGTTATTAACCCATCAGTTGCATCAGTGTAGGAACTAATGATGGGAAGTTTAGATTTGACCAGTGTTTTCTTGTGCGTAACAGTTATCATCTTAGACTTCCCACCAAGTACACGAAACACCAATTCAGCTCCAACCTGCAGAGTGATGCAAACAAGAACATTCATTCAAATTTTAACATTGCTAAAAATATTCAATTCCAACAACTGCAGAGAACCTTAAGATAAACTCTTAGAATAATAAGTCACATAAGAAAGCATTTTATTAGTCTCAAAGTACCTTAAATTTTTTTCCGGCCTTTGGAATTTCCAATTCAGACATATGACGAAGTGGGCATTGTGCCTTTACCCCGCCAGGAAATTGCACAATTGCACCAAAGGAATCAACAGCTATAACTTTAGCCCTCGCAATCATCCCAGGGGTGATATCTGAGTGAGTGAATACAGACCCTTCAAAAGCATTTGCCTGTTCAATTTTTTTAAGAAAAAAGGAAAATAAATAAAAGAATACTAAGAAGTAAGCTGGTACATTATACTCTAAAATCACAAGTGATTACACACACATTCAGGGATGACATTAAGTTTCAAAAGCACAATACACAAATAAGATATTCGGGAATTAATCTAGATGACCATCATCTTTATTGCTTAGATAAACAGCTTGAAATGAGTTGACGGACAAACTTTAAACATGCTTTTAAAGGTATGGGTCATATTTTCAAAAATCTACATCAATTTATAAACCGAGTGAAGTTTTATTATGTCTCCTCCTTCAGAAAGATGTTAAAAAGAAGCACAACCTTCAAAGTTCCAGTAGCAACTCCTTCCAAGTTCCTCAACCCAAGAATCCGAACACGGATACAACTACCTTCCTTGAACTTCTTTTCAAGCTTACGAACTTCACCTTCAGCCACATCGGATACCTGTAATCAACCTGGAAATGGTAAGAATTACAAGACTAAACAATCTTTACAGCCAAAGCCAGAATTTCAAAAAGTTATAAAAATAGAGAGAGAGAGAGAGAGAGAGAGAGAGACAACATACACTAACATAAGCCGGAGTGGACACCGGCATTGAGGGTATTTCAAGAAGAAGACCCAATCCTCTGTCAACCCGGATCACTTTTGAGTTTTCATATATATCTCCAATTTTAACATGCTGCATAGCCAAAGAGAAGATGTCAAACTTAGTAGGCATTCCTAACTGTAAATGGCCAATGAGATATCTGGAAGATTAGACACCACATAGAGATTTATATAAACAGCAACAATAGAGAGGACAAATTGAAAAAAAAAAAAAAAAAAAAGAAAAAGAAAAAGAAAGAAAGAGTTCATTTTTGTTTTATCTCTTGAGAGAGAGAGAGAGTCTTAGCAAACCCCATTTGACTTTTGAGGTTTCTAACATTAAAATCCTTTCCGTATGAGTCCCAAAGCAAACTTTACATACTGGAATATCTGAGGTTGGCTTCAGAAACGAGCAGCCCCATCATCTCACATGTACTAGTAAAGTTTTCTTTTTGTTTATCTTTTTATATTATATTATATTAAAATAACAACAATTACAACAACATCATAAACAACAAAAACGGACTTTACAGACAACACAAATACAAAAACAAAACAAGTGACAAAAAAAGGAGGGAGGACTGGGACAACCAAAAAATAAGGGTACTTATGCCCTGAGGAAACCTACCCACTAACAAGTACTAGTGTGTATTATTTCTTAACTACTACACAACAACCAATCATCAAAATGCATGTCAGGTAGATTGCTAAACCTTATAGATAAACTTACAGAAGGAGGAGACTTGTTACAAACGAGATGTGGATTCAGAGTCAAACCAATGGCCCTAGATGAAGGATCAATGAATAGTATTCGAGCATTAACCTGAATCACAAGAACAAGAACAAAAACATTTTTATAAGAAACAAACTAGACTACAAAATAAATGAAGCAAAACATGACAGACAACTCAAGTAGTGAAATGTAGTAGCAATAAATGGAATCAAATGGAAATATAACTTGCATAAACAATTAAATAGATAGATGGCCCAAAAAAAAAAAATGAAAGGAGTTATAATCAGTCAAAAAAAAAAAAAAAAACCTTCTTATTTTTATTGTAATCATCCCGCCAACTTGTTGCAGGGAAACTATTTTGTAAATGAAACATATCAACCTGTAAAATGAAAATGGACATTATATATTTATCATGTTAGAGAGGATCCTTTCAACTTCCAGTAATGATCTTAATCCAAATATTTTTTAGTCAAATGGCTGGTATGAAAAAAAGTAAATGAAACTTACAGTTCCAGTAAAATATGTCAAAAATGATAACATAACACCATTTTCAAGGGTTGACTGTACACGAGCATCAACCATCATGCCCGGAATGAGAAGATCAAATGAAATACCTTTAACATCTTTGGTCTGTACAAGAGATAAACAACACAAGATTAAAACTGGAGTGGCAACCACAGGGGGTAGAAGCCAAGAACAAAGAGGAGCACACAACACAGAAAATATCCAAAAGGCATACCACATGTTTTGACACTGTATCCGGCTCAGAACTCATATAAACAACTTTACGGGTTCTATCAATGCTTTTGACAATGCCCTGTAGAAGTTCTCCTGTGTTTATCTTGATATCTGTGCTTGCCCCAAAAAGCATCAAAATGAGGGAAAATAAGTAGGGGAGAGGGGAAAAAAGGAAACGACATTACAACAATGTGATGATTCTATAAGTACATATTGATCAAAGTTCTTTCGCTTCTGATTACCATCATAAACAAAGATGGTATATGCAGACATAACAAAACAACACTCTATGGAAATAAACAGTTATGCATGAGTTGAAGTCAACTGATGTTTACCACTTTGACTATTTTTAGGCAAGAACCCTGTGAAAGAAGGCAAACCAAAATGAAGAATATAGCCATGATCTTCATTACTTTTCACGTATGCAGTAAGGACCTGGAATTATAAAGAGAACATGAAGATAGTAGAGTACTCATCATTCAGGCAAAGTATCCAATATATGAGGAAAATATATACAATTGTGTTATTGAATTATGCTTCCCATCCCATTCTCTTGACATACCGTTCCTTCTTGAATAGAATCTAAGGTGAGGCCCTTGTACAACAAAGAAAGCCGTAGAGAAAGCCAAATCTTTCGTTTCCCGCTCTCTCTGTTATCATTATCCAAGTTTAAAACAACACAAGCTACCAACTGTCCAACATGGAAGATACTTGACAGCACATTATTGGCTATGCTCTAGTAGGAAAGAAAAATAAAAAATAAAATTATTTCACAAGATGACATGAAATTGTAACGATTATGCAACAAATGCAAAGTGGAAAAGAAAAAAATATAGTAACTAATGATGTAACCAAAAAACAAAAATGACATTTATAATGTGACAAAAATAATCTCTCCAGGCATACTGATTTAAATAACAATAAAAGTAAAACTAAGGAAAGACGAACCACTTATTTGTATGAGAAATTATATAACATAAGAAATCATAACACTACCTCAACTTCATTATCCAAACCAGGATCCACGGCATCAGCAGCTCGAACTAACCCACGTAAGCCCCCTGGCAAACTAATTACAAGGTCTTTCTTGTTTACTTCAGCAACAACTCCCCAAAGTTTTATTCCAGGAGAAATATTCTGGTCATACAAGCAAGAATATGAATATCAATAATTAAAAAAAAAATAGATTATCAATATGACGAATGTGTTAGAAAATGACCATAATATTTGGAGCTAAATTTCATTTCGTAAATTTACTATTTTAGCATGACACTGACAATTTCCCTTCTCTTCTTGCTTACTGTGTTATTGGATTTGTACGTGCCTGTTTACATTCTTTTCAATATTGTTATCCACCAATCAAGTTGCCACCGTCCTATTATGTAAATCATCCATTCAAATTCCAATATGTAAATCTAATTGAAGATAGAAGCCTAGCAATTCTTTTAATTTATTATAAAGCAATGCTTTCTTTCACTGTTTTTTCACAGTCAAGGCATTACATTCTTATCATAATGCCATGTGCAAAGATCATAAAACATTGTTAAAATGCCGACTAAAAATCAATATTTCTAATCATCCAAAACAATTACCAAACCAAAAAATTGTTCTTTTTCCAATTATACCATTTACTCTACGAACTAAAAGTATCACCCAGAGAAGGAATAGGCTTAACTACTTGGCAGTTAGCACAAAAAACATAGAATTCGTTTGCAATCCTTTCCAAAATTTTCACTTGGAACACTAATTTTGAAGAAAAAACTCTCTCCACCAATTCTATCAACTATTTAAATCCCAAAAAAAGAGAAAAAAAAAGAAATGAAAAAAAAAAAGAGAACTCCCACTTGGCAAAATCACAACTAAATCCTGATAAGATCGCCCATATTATTAAGCTACACTAGAAGAAAATGAAAATACTTTCCGAAATCATAGTATAGGATATTGAATTGTACCTTTAAAGTGATCTTGTTTGCATATCTAGGCAATTTTCCAGTAATTCCACCACCAAAAAGCGATCCCAAATCATCATCCTCCGTCTGATTCCTATTCTTCAAACTCTTCCTCTTCTTCTTCCTCAACCCCCGCTCCTCCGCTTCGAACTCCGCGTCCACTTCGGCGCGAACTTCGTCACGCTCTCTCCGACTCAGCGAACTTCCTCCACCTAAAGAAACGGCCACAAAACAGCAAATCAAATCACATACATTACAAACGAAAATAAAGACCAGCTTAGCACATCAATTATTTTTCGCCACAAATTTCTCAATTCGCAAAAAACAAACAGAAATTCGATAAGCTCGAACCTCTAGGAAAGGCAGGTTCTTCGTCTTCTAGCTGCAGAGCAACGGCCTCGGACTTTGCGGCGTCGTTTTGCTCGTTCTTCTTCTTCGCCTTGAACGGATTCTTGGAAGATTTATTGAACTTCGGCGCTTCCTTGGGATTCTTCTTCTGAGATTTCTTCGAAGTCGCAGCCATTTTCTCTACGAAAATTTTCCCGGAAAATGCGAAAAAAGAAAAAAGAGAAAAGGATATGGAAGCCCTAAAAGTGTAAAGAGAATATATATGTATATATTGTATATATTGTCTTCTTTGTTTACGGCAATCACCTTGATTGAGTTATTGGCGGTTGGTGGTCGCAACGTTCGCCGGCGGTGGAACGTCTGCAAGTTTTGCTGAGGCTTTGAAAGGGTTTTTGAGCAGAAACAAAATGGACTTTGAACTATATACAACTATATTGGACCGGACATGCATAAGGCCCATTTGGTTATATTGGGCCGATTTTGGGAAAAAGACGGACCGCTTGGGTTGGAGGCCCATCAGGGAGGGAGAAAGGTCGGATGGTTAGTCAATCAGAACCGCATATGAAACGGTTCCATGTCTGGCTCTTATATTTGAACCGTTTTGTGTCGCGAAGAAGAGAAACTTCTCGAATATTAGAGGCTTAAATTCAAAGGACGAACTGATTTTCTTCACCATTACCATTTGTTAAAGAACAGGATTGGTTTCAGAGCTTTTGATCGGCATTTTACGTTTTCTATCAGGTATTTTCAGATCACTTTTCTGTTTGTTTCTCGCGATTTTTATGGTGAAATTGTTGTTTATTATATGATCTTCTTCTTCGGTTTTTTTTTCCGATTTGATTAGAGAGGAAAGTTGTTTCTTTTTTGTTCCGACAAGTAATTAATTTGTGGACAATTCTTTTCTTGTTTCGATATTTTTCGTTTGATTTCGTTTCGATTTTTTGGTGAGATTGTAGGCGAGTGAGAAAATGAGGGGAAGAAGCTACAGTTACAGCCCGTCACCGCCTAGGGGATACAGCCGAAGGCGTCGAAGCCCTAGCCCTAGGGCTCGCTATGGAAGTCGCGGTACGAGTCTTTTGGTTCGTAATCTTCGCCATGATTGCAGGTACTTTGCTTTTTATTTTCTTCGATTTTTGTTTTTCTGCAGCCATTCATTGAAGAGTATGATTTTTTGCGAAGAAACTATACTAATATATGTGTTACTTGTGAGGAATTTTAACGTTTCTTGTTGATTTAATAGTTTTGAAGAGCGTTTCTGATCATTGACCGCCATATCTAGGAACTTGAACTGCTCTTTGGTTTTGTCAGTTTTGTTTTTGATGTGTAAAGTTGCTATTTTATTCCCTTTTATTCAAATTGTTTCAAATTGAACGTCACGTATCAACGTTTTGAATGGCTGTGGAAAATTTCTAGTGTCAGGAATGTCAGAGCATTTAGGCTTTGTTCTCACTTTTTTGCTACAGTATTTTTCAAATTGTACTCAAGTTCTATTGCTACAATGTATTTCAAATTAACTTGAGTTATGAAACAAACATACTTAGACCACGTTCATTTCACCGATTCGAGTTTTCAATTTCAATTTTGCTACAGTTAAAAGCTCTTACAAAAAGTCGCATCTAACTTTTTCTGCTACAGTAAAAAACTCTCACATAAAATTACATATTAGCTCAAATTGAAAACTCGAATCAACGAACTAAATGAGGCCTTAGATTTCAGAAAGAAAAAATTATGTAGGCCTCGTTCACTTCGCGGATTCGAGTTTTTAATTCAAGCTGAGATCTGACATTTTGAGCTTTTAACTATAGCAAAAAAAGTTAGAAGTGACATTTTTTGAGAGCTTTTAACTGTAGAAACTTAGAACTGAAAACTCGAATCGGTGAAATGAACGAGGTCATAATTCTATGTTTTGGTAAAATATTTTTATTCTTAGGAACGGTCCACAGATTTGTATCCTTCACATTTGAACTCCGGCTTCAATGTTCACTTTAAATTAGAAAGTACTCTTCTAAGTCTTGTGTGGTGTGCAAACATGATTTTGGGTTTTTGATGGCCATTATCCTATATACACATTACACACCCCGCGTCAAAACTTAATAAAATACAACCTTCTCCTTCATTCATTCCTATCTGTGTCAGTGTGCGAGCTCGACACAGGTTGCAGGGGGGCCTCACACTTGGCGAATGTGCGCCATGGTTTTTTGGGTCTCTGCTCACCGCCTCGTGAGGCAGCTCACCTCGTAGCATGAAACTCGTGCTGGATTTGTGCAAGAGAGATTACCTTGCATTCCCGTGGTGCGGTGCCTCCCACAATGTTAGGGCATTATATGAGGCAGCACTTTTCACTGAATCTTTGCTGATTTTTGCATTTGCGATGGTTAGCTCTTAGCACCACTGCCTCACACAATGGCAGGGGATTATGTGAGGCAGCACTTTTCACTGAATCTTTGCTGATTTTTGCATTTGCAATAGTCAGCTCTTAGCACTTCTTAAGGAGGTGGTTAGTTTCCAATCTTAAGGTGCTCTTGTTAATAATTTGTGATCAACTTAAACACACAGTTTTGATAATGTATGGACGAACTGTTCCTTTATAACCATATTTCAGCCCAAATTTTCAACGTGGATAACATTGAAACCAAAAATATAGACGTGCTGGGTGCATGTGTAATTTACTGGAAGTCTGGAACATAAGGTAAATTTTACTAAAACTTGAAACCATAAGGATAAATTACGCAATTTTTCAATAGGATTATGCTCATGTATTGCCTTTTGTTTCAACTATGTTCACAAAGAGTTACTATGTAATTTGATTTTATTTATGGAGTATGTCTGTTGTGGAAATAAATGTTTTGCAGGCCAGAAGATCTGCGTAGGCCTTTTGGGCAATTTGTTCCCCTCAAGGACATCTACTTGCCTAGAGATTACCATACTGGGTAAGATCTTCTATCACTTGTCATAAGGTCTCTATGTTGCTGAGTAGTATGATGTTGCCTAGATTATTTTTGGTAGGAAAATTTCTTTTGTTCGTTGTGTTAAATTGTGGGTTTGCTTGTCTTTCTATTGATTCCCTTTTGGTATGTTTTGGCCCCTTAATATTGTAGTCAGTCGTCTAAAATCTGTATTATGGAAATTTGGTTGTTTTATTGGAAGTGTTGAAGACACCAATGAAGTAGTAAGAGTACTGTGTTGAAAAGAAGACAACACTGAAGTAGTAAAGATTGGTGTATTGAAGAGAGACCAATCAAGTAAATAAGAGTGTCAGGATGATCTTAACGTATATGAAGATTTGAAGAAAGTTGGGTTTGAAATTTTGAGAAAAAGTTCAAGTCTTGAAGAATTTCATCTCAATTTTATCTTTACTTCCAACAAGGTTAGCAGCCCACATGATCTTTCTGTTGATTGTGCAAAGTCTCAGCAAATATTTGAGCTTGCTCTTCTCATTTCATAGCTCATACCATCTTGCTGGAGTCAGGATTGATTGCCATTTTTGGATAATCAGTGCCCCTATTATGTGCTTTTGCTGTATTTTTTTAATTATTTTGTCTGATGTTTCAGGGAGCCACGTGGCTTTGGTTTTGTCCAATATGTAGACCTGGATGATGCTGCAGATGCCAAATACAATATGGCCAAATTCTTCTTGGTCGTGAATTGACCGTTGTATTTGCTGAAGAGAATAGAAAGAAACCGTCTGGAATGAGGGCTAGGGAACGTTACTGGTAAGAATTATTGTGGTTGATACTTGATCGCGTTGCCCTGGCACGCTGGAAGTGTAGAATTCCCTGCAGTTTATTATACTCCCAAAATGAATACACTGTTTATAGAGCATGGTGTCTGCAAATTGGTTCCTGTACTAATTGTTTTTAGTTTGAACTTGATACTTGCAAAGCTACTTATATTTTGGTTGCTCAGCCGTCTAATCTTGATCTGATTTGTGGTTGATATTTCTTCACAGGGATCGTGATTATGATCATAGGCGGTCTCCACCTCATTACTCTCGATCACCGCGCTATGCTAGAACTTATTCTCGTAGTCCATACTATCGTTCCTCCTCCCCTAGACGAAGGGGTTACTCAAGGTATGAAATTAATACGTTGGTTACCCTTTTGAAAATATGAACCTTTTCTTGGTGGACATCAAGAAAAATGAAGAGGGCTCGTGTGTTTAAAAGACGTTTCCTCCTTTTTTGTAGGTCAATTTCTCCCAGGGATGAGCGATCATATTCAGGGTCGCCTTCTTATGTAAGGAGCCGGAGCCGTAGCTTTAGCAGGAGTCGCAGCTGGAGCCTTTGATTATTCGCGGTGATTATTTGATTGAAAATATGTTATTGTGCGAGGATGTGACCAAGTAGAAATTGGGATTTTAGTTCGTTTGAACTTTATTAGATTAGAATAAGAAGTTTCCTAGAGTTTTAAGAGAGAATTTGGTATTTGTATGACTAGTACTTGTTTGTTAGTGGATGTGCTTGCAACGATCAACTTCTCTTTGGAGTATTCTAGTGAGGAAATGGGGGTCCTAGTTCCATTGAAACTCTAAAAGTGATAAACTAAAGTAAGTCTTAATTCAAGTAAAACACCAACTAAAATATTTAAAAAAAAAAAGATTAAGCTTAAAATATGGTAAGTAAATTCTAATACAACCTCAAATTCTCATAAAACATAGAATCATAACTTCACATGCTGTCCTACATCAGTCAAAGCTAATCCAATTGTTTAGAATCTGTCCATTCTCGCAGAAAAGGATTCTTGCAAGGTGCCAAAGGGCGGCCCGCTTCTTTACCCATTATTCTAAAATATGGCCTATATTATATGGAATTTTGTGCAACGAAGAAAACAAGCCGAATGGTTTATTAACAAAGGAGTAGGGGTATCTCGAATTCTCGATGGGTCAAATTCCGTTATTCACACTTTGTGGTTCTCGGTAGTAGAATCACGAGCAAAATTGTCCTTCACTCATGTGACGAGAAAAGAATCATATTTAGACTTCTTTCATTTTATCAATTTATTACGATAAAAATTTCTCACATAAAATCACATTTAACTTGAATTAAAAACTCAAATTATCCTTATTTATGCAGTAAAAAATAGTAGAATCAAATAATAGTTAGAACTTAGAAACTAAACCATATTTCATATTTATATGGCAAATGAAACTTTGAACCTTTGAAATCATAACAAAGAGGCTCCAAAATTTTTTTATATGCAATTTACAGATATTACTCACATTACAGACGAAATTGAAAATTCTCACTCTAGATAACACATGGATCAGCAACACATATTCTCGTGATATGGGAAAACAAGCACACGTAGAAACTCCATATCTTCACATGTGTTCTATAGAACTCAAAACTGTCTAAGCACTTTAAACCTCGACACAGCAGCCTGATTGTACAAACCCCACGAACTCATCAGGAACCTCAATCCTCCTCAATTTACCACTCTGCCCTTCCACCATGAAGAACTCCTGCGACCCGCCTTGGCAACCCGACCCGGATACATACGTCCGACCGCCCAATTTGATTCCGCACGACCCGACCCTCACCGCCAAGTCGGAATCCGCCCAGCAAAACAGCCTCCCGTCCTTCCCCACCCCGACATTTGACCTCGGGCAGCGGCTTGCCCCCCACGCGTCCTCCACGCGCCGCCACTCTCCGGCATCGGCGTCGTACTGCTCCGCGCTCGCCTCGAACCCGCCCTGGGTCTCTGTCCGGTACCCGCTCACGACCCAGAACTCCGACCTGACCACGAGTCCCTCGCACTCGTCCCGCTCCTGGCTCATCCGGGGAAGCGGGGCCCACTCGTCCGCCGCCACGTCGTAGGCCCACGCCGAGCTCAGCGCGTTCTTGCTCTCGTCGTGCCCGCCGGCGACGAACACCCGGCCGGAGATTTCCCCGGCGGCGAAGAACGACCTCGCCTCCGGCATGTCCCTCCCCTGCCACCACGTCAGCGTCGTGAAGTCGTACACGAACACGTCCCTCACCGGATCGTAGCTCGTCGGGTCCCACCCGCCCATCACGACCAGCTTCCCCTCAGAGCTCGCCACCTGGCAGAACAGCGGCAGCCCATCCGGGTACTTCGGGACCGGGTCGACCCTGCTCCATAACCCACTCACCGGATCAAAAATCGATACACCGTAGGCCGGCGGGGAAGTCGGCTTGGGCCGATCCGGGCCGGATTGCGCCTGGGCCTCGGCCTGTGCCGGGAGGAGCTGGACCAGACAGGCGACTTTGCGGGTGTGGCCGGTGAGCTTCCGGTGGTAGTAGAAGTCGCGGCTCTGGAAGAGGCGGCGCCAGCGGCGGCTGACTCGGGCGGCGACTCGGTGAGTGGAGAAGTGGAGGCGAGTCAAGCACTCGAGAGCGAGGTCGTCGGGTAAACCCGGGATCAACTCGGTGAACGACTCAGTCATGGATTTTTTTATAGAAGCTTTTTTTGTTATTTTTTTATTATTATTTTGGAGGAAGAAAAGAAGGAGGAAGATTTTGGAAGGTTTTTAGTTTTTGGGTAGTAGAAGAAGTAGAATTAGAAATGGACAGACGTCTTGTTTTTCCACACAAGTGAGTGAAGATATTTATAGCGTCTTTTTTTAACTGTAGACTTGTGTATCTATGTATGGCTCATAAAAGAAACCGAAAAAAATAAAATAAAAGAAACCGGGGCTTCACGCGCCGCGCGCGGATTTGCCTGTTTTTGCCCCCTTGTTTTTCGTCCGCAGAAAATGGGTGAATCGAACAATAATTAAATAAACAAACAAAGATCCTCAGTAAAAAAATAAAAAAATAAAAACGAAGAGAAAAACAAGATCCTTCAGGGTGCAAATGGGTAGGGCATCAAGATTTGTTTAATCTTTTATGTCTCGGTGGTCAATGATGGTGCGAGGAATTTTTGTCGAAGGGCAAATGATTAAAACTAAATTTTAAATAATACTATTATGGACTATCAGTTTACAATTTTTATCAAGTGATTTTGATTTTTAGTTAAAATTTTTTGCAAGAGTAAAGTATCGTAATAGAATCAAAATTATGATTTTAAATGCATGAATTAAATAGACCTTATAATGTTAACTTTTAATAGAGATTATGTGTATATTAAAATAATACAATGCATACTTATGCCTATAGGATTTTTGAAAATAGAAAATTTAAGTGGTCTTAAGCCCCATCTGGGAGAGTCTTAACTGGTTACTGGCTTTGTTAGTGTCGATAATTATTTCTCTAATTAAATTTTGATACCTCATGTCATGCGTTGTTTAAGCATGTTTAGTATTTAGCTATCAAACTTAAATGACATAGTAAATAATTAGTGTAAAGACAATTAATATAAGAAAATAGGGACAGTAAATTGGACTCATATTATTGTTTTTACTTTTTCATTTATATTAAGCTGCATAAATTCACTTGAAAAAAAAAAAAAAAAAAACATAACCTCACTAGTAGACGGTAGTGCATGTTATCTCAATGATAGTGCATTATTTTTATTATATGGTCAAAATCATATTAAAAGAAACATTATGCAAAAAGAACATAGTGTGATATAATTGTAATTATTCAAAATAAATTACATATTCGAAGGTTTATAATTTAAAATAGAGCACCATTGATATTGATGGAGTATTTCTCACTCTCTCGTAAGATTCTTGTAATTATCTTTTTTGGTAGACGGATTCTTGTCATTGTAACGGGAGGATAATTAAGTGGTAGGGGTAGAGAGTGAAAAAGATATTCGTGAATTCTTTTTCCCTTTTTCAAAAGGTTTTAGAGAATGTTACCTAAACGAGGAAATGGGAACAGTTTTTAACTAGTTAGATTCGTTATTCAGCCAAAAAAAAAAAAATGTTGATTCGTTTACAGAAAAAAAAAAAACAAAAACAAAAACAAAACAAATAGTTGTATGTTGTTTTAGATTAGGAATAATATTGTAGATCCAACATTGTGCCGTGTGTCTTAGGCGTATTTGTTATGCGTATCATGTGATTTAATTTTTAAAGTTGTATTTATAAAATTTAAAAAATAAGACTCGTTTTTTATAATTGTGAAATATTATATGATTTATTTTAAACGTTATATCTATAAAATTGAATAATAGCAGTTCATGTATCTCAAATCAATATTAAAATTGAATACTAACAATTCGTTTTATACTAAAAACTCAGTAAAACGCTTAGATTTTATTTTATTATCACTGTTTGTTTGTTATCTTAAATGGTGATAATAAAAATAAATATATTATATGTTGACGTCGTCAACAAAAACAGGCCGGGTAAAATATCATATTCTAAGTGTTATTTTTACACTTAGGGATTGTTTGGTTGGGGGATTCGTACTCCTATTCGAATCATGATTCATAGTTTGTTACAGTATTTTCTCTCATAAAAAATACACATAAATCGAAGATGATTCTAATTCATGAACCAAACGTCTCTTTAAAAACATTGTTTTAAATTGCATGTAAGAAGTTTCACAATAAAGAACACCTGTCCGATAAAGCAATTATAATTAACTACAGTAGCTGTTTTTTAATTAAAATTGTCGAAAATAAACTGAAGTTTGTAGTTTGTGCCAAAGTACTGCATCAACTTTAAAAAATATAAGAGAAAACGCTAAATTTATTGAACATTATGAACTAATAGAAATAGCTGCAAAATGATTATATGACATGATTAGTTAAAATTGCATTATTTTTTGTTGTATACTTCTTCCATCAAAATGTCACATTCATATTAGAAGTATTTCGTAATATGAGAGAAACAAAAAAAAGAAAGATAATTCTTTGATATTATATCGAAAAAATACTTTATTAATAAAGTTTTAACCATTAAGTTTTCATCAAATTTTGTTAATACTTATTTAATTTGAAATTGTAGAACCGGTTATGAGCTTTTACCGTGTTTTCTTATAAAATTGATTAAGGATTACCAAAGCAAAATACAAAAGCAGAGTAAATACCACACAACGATTAAACGTGGTTCAGTCAAACCGACCTACATCCATGGGCCACGCCCAGACATCAAGCAATCCACTAATAGATACAAAGTTACAGACACCAATTGGACTTAACCAACCCAAGACTCCCTATTGACTAGCAACGTCGCTGTGTCTAACACGCTAAGTGGCTAGCTTGGCGAGCACCACTCATCTTCAAACGCCTTCTTCCGAAAACTCACAAAATCTTCTCTCAAAGAACAAAATCGATGAACGCTATATCTCTTCAACTTGTGCACTCTGTACTTATATCAAAATTGCAGTCCATCATCTGATTCCTTGTACAACAACCTTTTATAAACTGATCGAATTCAAAATCAGAATTTGTCTCAGAATCTATAGTTACATATAAGACAGTTATCAGTTTAAAATTCAAAACACGTAATCTGTTTCGCATATTATAGTTTCAGTTTCCTTGACCCAGATTCTCAGCACTCCAATCTCTTTTTAGATGATATCTTGATCTTTAAAACAAATTCATCATGAAATACGGTTTTGAATAAACCTTTTATTCAAACTAAAACAAAATTTGTAACAGATATTTGTTTCAATTTCAAATCCTGGTTTAAATCAAAATACCAACACAATCTTGATATTTTCCACGAAATCCTCAGAGCCTTATCTTAATTCAAAACTGTGAAGCTGATTTCTTCTATTTGAACGAACTCAAAAGCTGATCTTCTTCTATTCGAACAAACCCAACAAATTCGAAAGACTAACTCCAAATTTTGTCAAAATGCACAGCATTACTTAAGGAACCAAACGACTCAAATAAAAGTTGTACGACATTTCTTGACACTTTCAAAATAAATAATCCAAACATGAAGCCCAACTAAGCAAACCAAAGCCCAAAACATAAAAAGAGAGTCAAAATGACCCACACGACTCAACAATCTCCCCCTTTGGCTTAGTTTGGCAAAGTTACACAACTATATCCAAGAGTACTCAAAGCAAACAAAGTGTTCAAGAAAATTACTAACTAATTGACCACGAAGAAACACATTATTCTCCCCCTAAGTTTGGCAAACAAAAAGCCAAAGTCCAAAATAAAACAGAAACTATTGGAATCAAAAATTACAAACTGAAGAACAGATCAAACTGTAGGATCAACAGCCGAGGAAGAAGGCACAAGCGATGAGGAAAGAAGTTGTACCATTTGACTCCGCATATCAGATTTTCTAACCCAAATTTTTCTTGTTTTTCTATCATTAGGTGGATAAAACTGCATTCCTCTATTCAGACATTTTGATACGTCCAGGTATGTGGCAGTAATGACAGATAGGAACAAAATGCTTCTACTTGCGTTTTGTAGCTACAAAATTTGTGACAGATTTCATACCTGACCATACCTTAGTATTCTGCTCATGGCTGACATCTGACTTGTTTGTGGCCTTTACGAATGCCGATTTTGTACTAGAACTCTCACCAGTGTAACCAAGACTAGTGTGATCGCTACTTGTTCTTTGTTGAGATAAGAGATGGTCCAGTTTAGTCGTTCCAGAGTTTAGCAACCTTAGGTTTCTTTGAGTTCGCTCTAACTCCAGTCTTGTTTATGCAAGATCCCTTTTATTCTTTGCAGCCTCAGACTTGTATTTGGTCACTATGGCCTGGAGTTCTTCCTTTTTCTTGTTAAGGCTTTTAACCTGCTCTTCTAAGGAAATATTAACCTTACAAACCACTGTCCACTTGGAATACATTATTTCATATGCTTTCTGGACCTCTTCAGTATCAATGTCTTCCTCCTCATTGTCTGTATCAGTATCAGATTCAGATTCTGCGGAAACATCCTTCATGCTTATTTCTGTACCTACAGATTCTGGTATAGATGCATTCTTGCTAGTGGTTCTTCCGTCTGAAAGGACTGTAGTCACGTTGAATGCAACAAAATTACTGTTGTGTGTTCATCCTCATCTTGACTTGCATTGGAACTTTCATCATCACTCCATGTGGACTTCTGTAACACCCTGAAGAATTAATTGAGATTAATTAAGGTAATTGAGATTATTAGTGTGCCTAATCTGAATTATTAATTTAGTTTAATTAATAAATGTTTCTGACACGTGTGAGTTTAAACAGTTCTAAGGTATCTAAATTATTCTCAGTAATTGCGCATTTCTGGACTGTTCTTTAAAATATTGACACATGTCATTTTCTTTTCCTTTTCCTTTTCTTTTCTTTTCCTTTTTCCTTTTTCCTTTCCTTTCTCTTTCCTTTCCCGTGCACTCTCTCTCTCTCCTTCACTCTCTCTCTCCCGCTCACACACACACACACACTCTCTCTCTCATTTGTGTCCCAAATCAAACGGATCTTGAACCAAGAAAAGATTTAAAGAAGTTTTCAACGTCAAGAGAAGGATTCGAGGTAAGATTATTGAAAGAACCTCTCTTGAATCTCATGTTTTTGAATTTCAAAACTCATTTTGGTTCAAATCAGATTTTGATGGTTTTTGAGTAAAACTAGGGTAGAAATTGGAGATCTTGGGTTCTTTGGACTTGTTTTATGACCTAGAACCCAAATCTAATGGTTTCCCTTTGAAATATCTCGATTTGGGA